TAGAAGATTATTCTCGAATATCACAGCTGTAAGGACCTGTGGGCACTGTTTTACAGAAGAGCAAAAATAAGAAATGAAACCATCTGCCTCAGGTCATACAGTGGTTAAGTCCAGGAGAAGCTGCTAAAACCTAGGTGCCCTGGCCCTGTGTGGGTGCTCTTGAGCAATTTAATCTGGGTCTAGATTTAAATCCTAGTCCTGATACGTGTGACTGTTTTAATTTTAGCAAGTGATTAACCTCTTTACTTTACCTATCATATTTGTGAAATGGGAAAAATAAAAATACTGAAGAGTGTTCCTCTGAGGATTGACTTAGGTGATGTTTATAAAAGTGCTATAAACATGCTAGTTAATTTTAAAAATGCATTTTCTTAGTGGTAGTAAATGAAAGGTATTGTGATTACCTCTGCAGAATGATTTTAGAAGCAGTGAGCATGATCCAAGTCAGAGGTCAGCAAAATGTGGTCTTTTGGCCAGTGTTGGTGGCAGCCTGTTTTTTGTATGTAAAGTATTATGGAACTTGGCCACACTTTCTGCTGCCTTTCTGCCTCAACAGTGCAACATATTAGATGTGACAGAGATTGCATGGCCTATAAAACATAAATATTTACAGAGAGTTTGCAAACCTCTGATCTAAATGATCAGTATATTCTAATTGTGCCAACTACTCCTTAAAATCACACTGCAATCTTGGTATCTTGTTTGGTTTTCTTTTTTGACCTTGAGTCTCATAGCCAGTAGCCTACTGGCATCTCTACTTGACTGTCTTATGACCACCTCAAGTTACCTGGTCTCAAAGTAAACTTGCCTTCTTTCTGCTCAAGCATGTTGCTCTGTGTTCTTTAGCGCAGTGATTGGTAGCACCTAGACCACTAACAGGAACCTGGGGATAATCCTAGCTATGCCCCCTTCTTCCCATTTCCCTTCAGTCTTCACTTCTTCCTGATCTCATCTTTTAAGTATCTCTTGGCTCAAAGCCCGACTCCCCATCCCGGCCAACACTGCCCTCAGCCAGAACCTTCACATCTCCTGCCTGAACCATTCCGATGGCCTGGGTTGGACTTCCACTCTGAGTGCTAAGTCCATGAAATGGACAGATAATTTTCTGTTCTTGTGGCTTTTTGTTTTATGACTCCACTGTTTGGTTCTATTAAAAAATATTAGTAATAATAATCCTGAATACACGTTTTACTTTCAAAGCTTACAGAACACTTTCATATTCAGATAGAACTCAGATAGCCTATGATTCTGAGATTGCCTTGGGAGGGAGCTATTCTAATTATCCATGTGTATCTGTGTGAGGGGACCAGGGTTTAGAGGGGTTACATGTTTGCCTAGGGCCATGTGCTTTGGAACCATAATTCAGACCCAAGAGTCCTGAACTCTGTGTGCCTTTCTTTTCTTCCTTTTCTTTTATTTCGGTGTGTGTATATGTGTAAGATTCTTCCTCCCAGAGCATTTGAAGCTCAGCTTTCTTTTCCCTTGAACACTAGAAATCCATCAGGTAATATTTTATATGTCTTGGGTTCCTACTATGAAGATCAGTATTAAAAAAATGACAGCAACTTGTTATTTATGGCAATATCTATTGTTAGTGAGGGAGACAGACCAAACAATTCCCTATTGTTACAGATGCTACTTTGACTTGACAGCTGGGAAAGTCTGATAGGCAGTTTATTTACTTAGCCATTAAACCAAATAAATGTTTTCATTTTTCTTTCATCTCCTCAAAAGCTAACATTTTGCCCTTAAAATTGGTCCAGCAACACATCAGTGAAGTATAAATTACCTGCCATTCCCACACCAGCCATTATAATATTATTTTGGTTCTTTTTTGCCCCTGTTGACCCAGTCTTTCAAAGACACGTGATTCTCCCAGGCGGGAGGGTAGGAGAAAAGTGAAATAATTGAAGGTATTTCTCTTTATTGGTAAAACAGGAATGCTGTGTGAGATCGGCTCTGCAGCTCCCACTGCTGAGGACCGAGCGCATTGGTTCCCTCTTACTGTGGTGCGACACGGCTTTAACTTATCAACAGATGTCACCCCTGCCTCATCAGAAGTGTGCAGGTATTTATAATAAAAAGCAGCTGGAGATAATGGTTGCAGGGGTGATAAGAAAGGCAAGACTCTTGCTTTCCAACTGTATGAAGGCACAGGGAAAAATAAAACCACGGACGTGACTACCCCTGCATGTTATCCCTCTCTGGATGTCTGGAAAGGCACTAAGAACTTGCAGTCAGTAGATTTCCAGTTGGCTGGATGGGTGAGTGGGACAGAGACAGGAAGATCAAACAAGGCTTGCACTGCTACTGATGGAGGGGTCCGGAAGAGCTCATTCAGACTTCCCCTGCGGGTGTTGAGGGAATACGTGTGCAAGGCTGGCAGCAGCCTCTTGGCTTGCAGTTCTTGATAGGCAATTGTGAAACTGCCAGGCTAAGCTTTCAAAGGCACAAAAGTGTTTCATTGAAGATTATAGTCCAGCCCTCCTTTGGAGCTGGGAGCTATTTATTATGATTTACATGTAAATCCAAGACTGTCATTGTTTTTGAAGTGAAAAGGGGCCTTTGAGGCCCTATGTAGGGTCATTCTGATTACGGGACAGCACTGGTCAGAGAGCTAAGAGGTGGACTTTTCTTCCCTGCTTCAAGGCTGTTTTGAGGCACATTGTAAGTTAATTATCTGAAGATAGAAAAGTACAAGGCAAAAATCTCCCAGCCACTGGCCTGGGTCCTTAAGGTAGAATTTATTAAATGTAAGTTCTAAGGTATATAATCCAAGGTAGTGGGGAAACTACATTTATTGAGTACATATGATGCTGGTGGTGGGGGGGAGCTGGTGTTGGCAGCTAACATCTATTGGGTGCTTACTGTGTGTCAGACATGGCGCTAAGAGCTCCACATACATCACCTCATGTAGTTCAAACAATACAGTATGAGGCAGCACTATTTTTATCCTCATTTTTCAAAATAAGTTGGAGACTTACTATAAAATCTCATCAGGGTCACAAAGCTAGTAACTGGTAGAGCCACATTCTCAACTCAGATAGTCTTACAGCAGAACCCAGATTTTTAAGGTGAGTTTTAGGCTCACCACTGTATTCGCTTCTGTGCTAGAGACTCTGCTTATGCCATCTCAGTTAACATATGGATAATATAAGCCCTTTCTAGCAGATGAAGAAACCAAGACTCAAGAGAAATTATGGTTCTTGCCCAAGATTTCCTGCTATTACATAGCTGAGCTAGAATTTGAACTCAAGTTCCAAATCCTGAGCTCTCCTGGCTGTACCATGCTACGTCCATTTACAACTCAGCCACAGCGTGGGGTTCTGGATGGAGCAGCAAACACAGAACAGGCTAAAGCCCCATGGAACAGTTCAGCTTGAAGGACTGTCTCAAGCTGAACAGGCTCATAAATATGAGGGTTTGATACATTGATCTGCAAATGGTGTAAGTCATCTTTGTTTTCTAGAAGAACTTCAATTTTAGGATGATGTTTGCTGTTATCCTGATGAATGGCTTTTGTCGCCTGTTGTTCATTCATCAAACTTCCCAGGGCAAGATGAAACATGTGAAATAAGACATACGCAAAGGGTAGAAAATCTCCTGGGGATTCTTCCCAAAGGAGTCCACCCATGATCCTCAATTTTTCTCTTCCTGAGAACACTAAATTTGTCTTTAATTCTCCCGCTCCCCAAATAGCTTTGTAATACTGATACTTCAAATGGGCATTACATGGTTTTACATGGTACCATGTGTTATTATGTGAGATTGTACTATCACGATGTGGCAAAATATACAGTATATTAAGTTCTTTGATTATGAAATCTATTAACAAAATGCATTTTCTTTTTTCTTTCTTCTTTAATTACCTGTTTTATTTTTTATTGTATTTTCTCCAAAACACTGTCTTAGCTTTCAGTTAATCATCAAAATAACTTACACATGAACTGAGAATGATTCCCATGTAGCCTCTCAAGCCCTTTATGAATGGCAGCAACTATCTACCGTTTTAATGGTTCTGACCCTGCTGTTCTGGACTAAGAAAAGGAAGAAGCTCTGTGGGTACAGCCTTGCAGTGAGTCCCACACATTTATGGAAAACTAGGAAAGTGTCTGAAGATTGAACACGTTTTTCAAGGACTGACCTTAGAAATCATGTCTCGGTAACAAGGTGTACTTCTGTCTCCTGAGAAGGTTTGCTTCATCAGCAACTCTTTCTTTCGATCAAATCAGATGTATTGAAATTTGAGTGCCCAAAGCCACTTGTAGGAAATGTAAGTACACTTCTCTCAGAGTAGCTGCTGATGGAATCTGAAGTGGGTGGGTGGCAAGCCACGTGCTGTAGCACAGGTGCAAACAGCAGCGCCTTCGAAGCGAATGCTACGTGACTTTGGGCTTTGAATTTCCCTTTCACATTGGAAAGGGAGCAGGAGCCCCTTTTGGCTAGACAAAATGGACTACCATGACCTTCTATCTCTATCCATCTTATTTCAAGCACTACTTATTTTTGCTTCTTAGTCTGGCTTCGCAGTGTGTTTGTTTGGTGACCTCTTCAAATCTGTGGAGTGTAGGCAAACGCAGTGACACTTTGCTTAAAAGAGTGAAGCATCTGAACCACATCTTCCTGAAAATTGATCAAGGTGGGCAGAATATGTCCATCTCAAAGTTGACGCTTTCAGAAACCAAATCCACGTTAAGTAGTATTGACCATGCCTCATTCTATCACCACCACTTACTGAGAACATATCATTAGTAAAATAATATGGCCATTCCCCACTCACCCTTACCCCCACCCCCAATTCATGTCAAAGGTCATGCATCCATGAGGAAAAATAGGATGACAAACAGACACCAGGCAAGGAGAGATAGTACAAGCATGAGAGGTACGCTCAGGCAAGGAGAGATGAAACAAACACCAGGGATGTAAATTTCAAAGTGAAAGCAGGCAAAAGGGAAAGCAAATAGCTTAAGGATGAAGGAGATAAAAGGACAGATACCTACCCAGACCTGCGCTATCTAGCTACCGGCCTGTGGACTTATATTATCAGCACTGGGCTCCCCACTGGGCTCCCCAAATGGATCACTGTTGGATGAGGCCTGTGATCCATCAGGCTAGAACACAAGAAGATAACACTTTTTTTTTCAACAACTGAAAATATAAGACAGCAACGCATACTTTCATGCACACAAATAGTCAGTTCTTTTAATGGAGGCAGCAACTTTCAGTCAGAGGCGGCATACCCACAAATGCAAGACCCTGTAAGAACAACTTAATAAAAGGACAATGTTTTTCAGCTGCTTGTTGAAACATAAAAGAAAGCCCCTTAGTAACCCCTTAAAAACTTAAGTGCCCGGGCCAGCGTTCTTTCCTGTGTAAGTTTCCTCATGCATTGTCTATTGCAAATACAGAGGTTTTAATCTTAAGAAAAACAAAATCAGAAAGAATAAGCCCATCACTTACAGCTTCTTGCTCTTCGCTCTTGCTGGGGCTTTCGAAGCCCTCTTCGAAGATGTCATCTGCAGTAGGATCACTGGCATGGGACGCAGATGATTTGGATGGAGAGCTCTGTCTGGGGGCTGGGGTTGGAGCTGCACAGAGACCATGCAAAGACAGGAGGCATCGTCAGGGTCTGGCTGTAACTGTGTGCTCCCCACAGAAACCTCAGGGATCAGGTTATGTCTGAGTCACATCACAGGACTCCTTTTCCTATTACAGGTCAAGTTGGTTGAAGAGTTTAATCTCTCTTCTATACATATTTATCTTGTCCTCTCACATTCTTGATGGTCAGAAAGGTGCTGGTCCACATAGATGAAATCACCAGTGGCTCTCAAGGGATGGTCCCTGAATCAGTGGTAGCAGCCACACCTGGACACTTGCTACAAGTGCAAATTTTTGGACCTCATTCCACACCTACTGAATCAGAAACACAGTGTTTCTGCACACTCAAGGTGGGAGCCATATTGTTTTTTTCCTTCTCTCTTTCTTAACATCATACAATTAATTCAATAAGAATAAGTAGATCAGAGGACAATAACACACACTGATTGAATACCTTCTATGTATCAGATATTGTCAGAAATTAAACAGGTAATATCTGTAACCCTCATAAAGCCTCTTTGGAGCAGGGGTATGACAATTACACAGATAAGGCAAGGGAAGGTTCCTAAGGCCACAGACTTGGCAACCAGTAGAGCCAGGCTTCCTATCCTGACACACAGTAGGTCTCTGATAAACACATCCTAAATAAATAATGTCTCAGTGATCTGGGAAATGGCTGTAACTGCGGGGAACCTCACAGTTGGCACCGTACTCCTTGTTCTGTAAGAATGTGCATTTGCTTAAAATCATCCAAATAGGAAAGGAGGAAGTAAAACTGTCATTGTTTGCAGATAATGTGATAGTGTACATAGAAAACCCTATAGACTCCACCAAAAAAATACTTGACCTAGTAAGCGTATTTGGCAAAGCAGTGGGATACAAAGTCAATATTCAGAAATCAAAGGCATCTTTGTTTACCAACAATGAAATGTCAGCAACTGAAATCAGGAAAAAAAAAATCCCATTTGCTATAGCAACAAGGAAAATAAGTTACCTAAGAATAAACCTAACCAAGGAGGTAAAAGACCTATACACAGAAAACTGCACAACACTGAAGAAATTAAGGAAGACACAAATAAATGGAAGCATATACCGTGTTCATTGACTGGAAGAATTAACATCATCAAAATGTCCATACTATCCAAAGCAATTTATAGATTCAATGCAATCCCTGTTAAAACACCAATGATGTATTTCACAGATATAGAACACACATTTCAAAAATTTATATGCAACCATAAACAACCCTGAATAGCTGCAACAATTTTGAGAAGGAAGGAAAAAGTAGGAGGGATCACAATACCGGCTATCAAACTATATAACAACACCACTGTAATCAAAACAGTCTGGTACTGGCATAAGAACAGACACATAGATCAGTGGAACAGAATAGAGGGCCCAGAAATAAACCCATGTGTCCATGGTCAATTAATATTTGACAAAGGGGACAGAAGTAAAAAATGGAATAAAAATAGCCTCTTCAACAAATGGTGTTGAGAGATCTGGAAAGATACATGCAAAAAATGAAACTCGACCACCAACTTATATCATACACAAAAATAAACTGAAGATGAATAAAAGACTTAAATATAATCTGTGACACCATAAAAGTCCTAGAGTAGAACATAGGCATAAAAATCTCAGATATTCCACACAGCATTATTTTCACTGATATGTGCCCTAGAGCAAGGGACATAAAGGAAAGAACACACAAATGGGACTTCATTAAAATGAAAAGCTTCTGCATGGCTAAAGAAAACATCAGCAAAAGGAAAGGGGAACCAACCATATGGGAGAATATATTTGCCAATGACAACTCGGACAAGGTTTGATCTCCAAAATACATAAAGAACTCACATGACTTCACTCCAGGAAGACAAACAACCCAATTAAAAAATGGGCAAAGGACCTGAACAGACACTTCTCCAAGGAGGACATACACAGGGCCCAGAGACATATGAAAGGATGCTCAGCATCACTAGCCATCAGAGAGATGCAAATTACAACCACAATGAGATACCACTTCACACGGGTCAGAATGGCCATCATAAACAAATCAACAAACATTAAGTGCTGGTGAGGTTGTGGAGAAAAGGAAACCCTAGCACGTTGTTGGTGGGAATGCAGACTGGCGCAGCCACTGTGGAAAACAGTATGGAATTTCCTCAAAAAACTAAAAGAGGAACTGCCTTTTGATATGGCAATTCCACTGCTGGGATTATACCCTAAGAGTCCTGAAATACCAATTCAAAAGAACCTATGCACCCCAATGTTCATAGTGGCACAAGTTATAATAGCCAAGTGCTGGAAGCAACCTAAGTGCCCATCACTAGATGAGTGGATCGAAAAACTACGGTACATTTACACAATGGAATACTACGCAGCAGAAAGGAAGGAACCCCTACCCCTTGTGACAGCATGGATGGAATTAGGGAACATTATTCTAAGTGAAATAAGCCAGGCAGTGAAAGACAAATACCATATGATCTCGCTTATAAGTGGAACCTAATCAACAAAAAAAACAAGCAAGCAAAACAGAGACATTGTTTTACAATCAGAGACATTGAAATAAAGAACAAACTGACAGTAACCAGAGGGGAGGAGGGAGGCAGAAAATGGGAAAGAAGGGGAAAGGTCATCAAGGAACACGTATAAAGGACCCATGGACAAAGCCAAAGGAGGATAGGATTGAGGGTGGGAGGTGGGGGTGGGTGGGGCAGGGGAAAAAGGTGATGGTGGTGGGGAAATTGAAACAACTGTACTTGAGCAACAATTAAAAAAAAAAAAAAAAGAACATGCATTTTCTGTCCTGGCCTTCCCACATTTTTCTCATCTCATTTGTGCCAGAGATTGATAACAAATATGCCATTTGAAATCACTCTTCCTTCAAAAATTTCTAGTTTGCCATTGAAAATACCAGTCAGTGGCTAAGACCCAAGTGAGGGGGTAGCGTGACTTGAGTTAGTAGCTAAATTTCAAGCACCACTGATAAGGCCTCCCTACAATAACTTTCCACAATTTCCAAAATCTGGGTGCTTATCAGACAGTAAGTGAATGAATATAAAACTTGGTGCGCTCCTTTTGCCTTGAAGAAGCTAGGTACTTTTAGAATAACAATGCAGTTTACTGTGTGCCAGCAAGCCAGGCACTGTGCTAGGCGCTTTGCATTCATTATGCTCTCTAATATAAACACTGTTATTGTTTTATTTTCTTTCTTGATGATGAAGATACTACAGCTCAGAGAGGTGATGTGTCTTTCTCAGGGTTCACACAGCTGTGAAATAGGAGCACTGGGATTTAACAGGGTCTGTCACCATCTACTCGACTGTGCTTTTCTATTTAAGGTTTACTTTTGGCTTAATTGATCCTCCAGTTAAAACATTTGAAAGATGATGCTGATGGAGAAGAGGACAGAAAGGTTGGTTTCACTCCTTTTCTTTAAAATAAAAACATTAAGTTTTTCTCTAATTTAGAATGAAGTCTGTTTTGCCTCATGAGATGATTATGGAACAAACTAGTTAGAGTGAGTTTAGTGAGATAAGCTATGGGAAACACCCTGATAAGTTGTGGGCATTTAATAATTATTAGTGTAATTCAATTCTGAATTGCAATTGACATTGTTCGTTGCTTACTAAAGGCTAAGAACTCCAGCTGAGCTGCCCATTCTGAGAGGTACATTGTTCATACTCTGAATGAAATCAATAGGGAGTATTACCAGGAGTTTCTTTGTGCAAGTGTCTTAACCTTTAGAAGGTTTTATGGAATACCTCTAACTATAAAACAGTGATTCTCAGTCTGTGGCTATTTCACTCCCAAGGGGCATTTGGCAATATCCAGAGTCATTTTTGATCATGACTAGGGAGCAGATGTATACCAAAGGCCAGAGATGCTGCCAAAAATCCTGCAATGCACAGGACAGCTTTCCACAAAAAATACTTATTTGGCCTGAAACATCGATAGTGCCTAGGTTGCAAAACCCTGCTCCAGAACACGGCAGTAGACGAGAAACCTTCGTTTTGTTTGTTTCATTCTCTGCAACTTTTCCCAAAATGCCTCCTATGTTCTAGATACTATGCTGGCAGTATGAGAAGTACAGGAATGATTGTGACCTATCCCCTGCCCTCAAAGAACTGAAACTTCTCTCTTTTATTTGTAACTGGTACACTGAGAGAGAAATATTTGTTTTTAAAAGATGCCTGCTTATTTATGCATGAATGTCATTTCTTTAGCATTTTGTCTTCTTATTTGTTATTCTTCACTGAAACCCTGAGTTGCAGTTCATAGAGATGCCCCACTACATAGATCATCTGGCCTGAATGGACGTAGGTTGCTTATATACATAGAAAGCGTTCATTTGCAGAATTGCACCCCAAGTCTGGCTAAAATGACAATATCAAATTACATTAACATCAGATTTTTTTTTTTGACAATTCATGGTGTTAGCCAAGCAGTTATCCGTGTCATCTGTGACAGTAATGAAAACACCAAAATCAGTGCTCCATGAGCCTCTTCCTTCCTCTTATCAATTGTCAAGGCAGAGGCTGAACCACCAGATGCTCTCCCTGAATGGTGTTGACCGAGCATAGATGTGTTCAAGTGTATCTGTGTTCTAAGTGGATGCACAGTTCTGGTTTTCCAGATGTTTGCAGTAGAAAAGTGAGCAGGAGTTGAACCACTGAATATCAGAATTAGAATGGGGCACCCTGTTCTCACTTATTTTACCATGACACAGCTGTGGTTGAGAGAAGCCACACACCTGCCCAAAAACACAGCTTGCGGTAGAGGAGCCAAGATTATAACACTGGTCCAGGCCTCTGCACAGAATCACTCAATATGCAATAACAATGACGATAAAACTACTACAAACTCTGTGAAGTATATAATGTTTTAGTACATATACCATTGAATCTTGTTGATAACCCTGAGCCTCAGACAGATGAGGAAATCAAAGCTCATAGAAATAAAATGACTTGCGCTCAGGCACACAATAGTAAGTCATAAAGCTTCTGTCCAGGCTCCCAGCCCAGAGCTTCCTGTTATGTCATTATTTTTTCTCTCTGACTGGCCTAAGCTCTGAGTCAGAATCTGGCTTCAGCTATGCCAGTTGTAGGAGGGCTTTTGGTTGCTATATCTCTGTCCTAAGTTTTCCTCTGATCTTAATTTTCTAAATTTTTACCCTTGTTCCTTAAAATTTTTCAACTCACATATACCATTCATTTTTATTTCAATGAGCTATACAGAAATCTCTGTGACAGAGCTGGAATATATATAAATGCATGCAGCAATAAATCAATGAATGAGCAAATGAACAAAAATCTAAGAGGCAGAGTGGTACAGCAGAAACACAACAGGCTTGTATTCAGTTCTACCACTTCATCTATTCTTTTTGTCTTTGGATCTCGCTTTCATTATCCATCAAACAGGTCCAACAAAACTTGTCATAAGCATTATTATGAGTATAAAAATAATAAATATAAAGCATATGGGGGAGATATGTGTGTTATAATTGGTACCGAACAATTGGTAGCTATTATTACTGGCAGTAAGACTAACATAAACAAAGGGTCCTATTGAATGTACGTAAGATGAGTTCTCTGACCCTAGAAACAAGGCATCACTCTCATTGGGTTTATGAAGGACACTCACGTGAGTTGGTCGATGGCGTGGTAGAAGTCACAGGGGTCAAATTCAACTGGGAGATGTCAAAGTCATCACAGTCATCTGTATCCTGTGCCACCCCGACTTTGTTGAAGTAACTGGAGAAGGCCTCTGAGGTACAGGTGAGGGAGGGTTGGTCGGATTTGCGGGAGGGCACTGGTGGAGGCTGGGCCATCTGGAAATCCTTAAACATTTCTTTCCCCATTTTCTGCCTGGGCTTGTCGGTCTGCGGACTTGACCTGGTAGAGTCACCCGTGGCTGGGACGGTTGCAAGCGGGGTGAGGGGACCTTGGAACATGGCGGCTGGCAAAGGCATAACAGTTTGTGTGGGCATGAAGGCGGCTGGCGGAAACTGCCCGGCCACAGTTGGCCAGGGCTGCTGAGTGGCAGGGAAGAGACCCGGCTGGCCCCATGCGATGGGCTGAGCCCCCGGCATCACCTGAGCGACTGGTGGCTGAGCACCCATGGCAATCTGCTGTTGGACGAGGGGCTGCTGGCCCCAGAAGGATGGGAGGACGGCGCCCATTGCAACATAACCTGGAAGGGTGAAAAAGAAGGGTCAGGCATCCTGGGAAAGAATAATTCATGGAGTCAGGTGATGGGAAAAAAGTTACTGAGCAAACTACTAAGCGTCAGGCTGTGTGCCAAGGACTGGGGATGCAGGGGTGCATAAGATAGAAGTCTCTGCTCTCATGGGACCTGCCTTCCAGAGCAGTGGTCATGGAAAACCTCTCTAAGGAGATGACTTGTAAACGGAAGCTGGACTACAGCGAGGGAGCAAGCCAGGCAGGTGTGTGGGTGATGATAATAATGTTTCTACAGTTGTTAAAGGCTTCTGAGATCACAGAGGCTCCATAGCCAGTGTGTCTCAGTGGAAAGAGCAGAGGACTAGAAACCAGGCACATCTGGCTTTGACTCTTGCCTCCCCTTTTTGCTTCACATCTCAACTGCTGGATGTGAAGCCAGGATATAACATCTCCTTTCCCTGCATCAAAGCCGTGTGCAAACTGAATACAAATGGGAATGTTGGACTTTTAGAGGCCAAGGTGAAAATTCAGACTGCCACTTCTTATCTTTGGAATTTTGGGAGGGCTTGGGAGCTCTCTAAGGTTCTATGTCCTTATCTGTTAAATGGGCATAAAATATCTTGTGCCTCATTTGGATGGTTTAAAGAGTGAATTCATAAATTTAAGATGTGAAGTCCTATACTTGACAAAGAGTGAACATTCAGTAAATGTTAGCAATTAGTATAATTTTAAGCAGAGCCTATAAATATGTTCCTAATAGCTTGTTTGAATAGAACAGACATACAATAGATGGTAGCTATAGGTATTATTATTATGGTGCCAATTTTAGAGATTAAAAATATAGGTTATTCAGGTGAACCTCATAACAGTACAGGTTGGGCACTGTGAATAGCTAATGGGTGCACTCACATATGTTATTGTGATAAGATAAAATCATTTTAAAAAGGAACACAAATGATACTTTATTTTTAGAAGAAAGGGAAGGGAGGGAGAAAGAGGGAGAGAAACATGATCATTTTGGTCGCCTCTTGCACGCCCCCACAACCTGGCCTGCAACCCAGGCATGTGCCCTGACATGGAATCAAACCAGGGACCTTTTGGTTTTCAGGCTTGTGCTCAATCCACTGAGCTACACCAGTCAGGTCCTCCTCTTTACCTCTTCATCCCCATTTTCAATTCTTATTCCCACTAACACCTTTCCCTTCAGCCACTGCAAACAATACTCAACCTGCTCTCTCTCACTTCTGCTGGTCTATACACCTAGAAAGCCATCCCCTATTTCTGCATGTGGCTACCCCAATTTGCTTTTTGAAACTCAGTTCAGCCTCACCACTGCTGGATACCTTCCCTGCCCTCTAGACTCAGTTGGTTCTCTTTCTCTGAGTTTCCACAGTCCTCGTGTTCATCTCTATCATGGCACTTGTCACACTGCCTTGTAATTGCCCGGTTATTCTGTCTTCCCTCATTAGACTGGAAAGAACCTGTTAGCAGAAATGCTTTATTTCCTTTCTCCCTCCACTGTGCATCTAGCACAGTTCTGGGCACACACTGATTGCTCCATAAATGCTTCAGACTGGAGAAAGGCTCTATATAAAGGTGAATGAGTCATAGTAGAATAAACACCTGCATTGCATTTTTCCAAGTATACAACTAAACTCCAAGGTCTGGAAGTGCTGTGATCTCTGATGAATCTGGTGGCAGGGATTTCCAACCCCTCCCCCTTTATCATTTTTTTTTCCTACAAGGAACCAACAGATGGGCTGTGCACACTTTTCTGGAGAGAGCTATTAACATGTCTCTGTGGTTTCACACACCTGTCTCAGATCAAAGTCCAATATTCAAAAGGAAAAGAAAGGCGCACAGGGTAATTGGGCATCATATTTGGGAACACTAACTTTGCCTGTGGTGGGCGGTTCCCGCAGCCCGGACTCCTCCCAGATCGGTAAGTTAAAGTTCTCTGGACACACAGCATGGTGCATGCCTGACGGGTCACCTCAGAGGCAGGGCTGTGGTAGTCCTGGACACAGGAAGCCACTTGGTGGCTGCCACTGCAGCCACATAACAGCTTAGTAACTGTTTACTCATTAATGTTCAGCAGCGGAGGGAAGAGGTGCTAAGGAGCATCTGTTTATGCCATGGAGTTCAGCTCAATCATGAACCTCCTTGCTGTGAAGTGGAAGGAAACACCTGCACTACTACTGCTGCCTTGCAGTTAGATTTTTTATAAGTGTTGAAAATTGCAATTTATAACCAGATGCTGGTACCTGGGGATATACTCATTATTTGCAAAAAGAAAAAAATCAGACTAAAATGTAAGGAAAACACTGAAAATGAAGGCACTTCCCCAGCATATACAGAACTTGCATGGTGCCTCTTACCTGTGTTATTTCATTTACCTGACTGACTGATTGATTCATTCATTCAGAAATATTCCTACCGGGTATCAGCACTGTTTTAGTCTTGGAAGATGCAGTAAAGAATAAAACAGTTTAAAAAAAATCCTTGCACCAGTGGAGCTTACATTTTTAGAGAAACTGCAGATGCAGGCGGAAGGCTGGACATAGCTACACAGAGGGCAAGGAGCGGAGCCAGGGCTCCTGATGACCGGGTAGCAAGCATCAGGTGAGTGCTTACTTGTGAAAATGCTGCCAGGCACTGCTTTTAAGTACTTCACTACATGTTTAACTCGTGCAGTCCTCAAAACAGCCCCATGAGCTGGAACCTTGTTCCCATTTTACAGATAAGAGCTCTGAGGCCCAGAAGAGATGTAGCCGAGTATTGCACAGCTGTTTAGTGGTGGAGTCTACTTTCTCCAGGCCCCCCAGGCCAGCTTCACCATGCACAGTCAGGAGGCCGAAGACGTAAACTTTATTATATGCATTAAAAAAAATTCCAAGAAGATAAAGGAAAATAACATAAATAGGACAAGACATGTTTTCTTCTACTTTAGAAATCAGAGTAATAATAATAACAGTATTTTCTACATGAAACATCTACAAAATACCAGCATTCTTCAAGGCATTTAACTTTTATTTAATCCTCATGATACTGTTGCAAGGTAAATAATATTTTCAATTCAGTTATAAAGATGGAGAGACTCTGCCTCTGATAGGTTAAGTAATTTGCCCAGAAGTCTAAAGCTTATAAATAAATGGCTGAGCTGGGATTCAAACCCAGTCTGTTGGTTGTAAAAGCTTCCCACAGCCTGTCCACTGTACGGTATACCCCACTTCATTTCCCTATGCATCTGTCATTGGCTCTACAATTAGAGATGGGTAGACAGAGGTTCACCAGCTACAGAGATTTTTAAGGCCAGTTAAGGGAGAAAAAAGGGCAGATAGTTTAACACCAACTGAAACCTAGTTTTGTTGCTCATCATATTTTAAGTAGGATAAGAAAGTAAAATATGCTAATAAAAATTAATTTCAGACTTGTGTTCTAAAACTTGGAAGCTTGGAAGTGACCTAACCACCGTTTAAAAGATTTTTTAATTTTTTTTAACAGTGAAATAAACCAAATCTGGATGTGCAGAAGTGGCACATTCATAGTTTGTAGCACAGCTGGTCAACCGGCAAGACTGAAATCTCGGCCTTCAAAGCCCTCATGTGGCACAGGCTGGGGAACAGGCCCAGAGCAGTACCGTGCCTGGTACGGGCAGGTCCTCAGGTGCTTTTCCTCAAATATTAGGGCTGGGAGACACAAGAAATTTGCACCCAGTCCCACCCTCTCACTTACAGGGAAGGGAACGGCGACTTGGAAGGGCCAAGTCATTCCTCTTCTGCCTGGAGCGCTCCTAACCCTGATTCCTTCTTGACTCTCTCCCTCGCTGCTCCCAGTCCGCTCATGTCTCATCCTTGCAGGAGCCCCTCTCATTACAGCCTCTACTTATACCCACTCTTCACCTGCTCCAAAGCCCCCATATCCTGCTCTACATTCTCTTTTTGTCCATACCCTTATCATTTTCTAACATATTATATGTCGTTTTTATATTGTTGTCTGTCTCCCTAATAGAAAGTAAGCTCTCTGCAGACAGGAGTCTGTGTGTGTTGTAGTCACTGGCACACCCCAGGCACCCAGGACAGAATGTGGAACACAGCTGGCACTCAATGAATATCTGTGGGTTGAACACGCCTGCAAATTAGTGAGTTAGTGCCTACAGTTCCCATCACCTGTCCCAGTGTATCTTCATGAATCACATAATGAGGACAATGCATGGATATTCTGAGCACAGGGTTGATGGCACAGGCAAGTAGTGCCTTTTTGATGGAAAACTGTTATTCTTATTTAAAAAGTCATACACGACTGCCGAGGAAATTTGAAGATCCACATAGATTAGGAAAACTATTCATCACCAGTAGCCTGTTTTAAAGACGGATAAAAAAAGAGTCAATTGGAAAACTTAGCAACTGAATAAAATTTCTAGGCTACCAAACTTTGTTGCTTCTGAAAGTTCAGAATGATCTCTGAGCTCATGATGAATAAGTGTAACTATTTCAGAACAGGATATAAATTTTTAATACACTTTGAATAGCAATGAGGTTTATATTTGGTGACAAGAATTTGCTTCTAACACTATGTAATTAAAAGTAATTATTTATAGAAAAAATAATGCAAGAAGATTTGTATTCTAGAATACTTAAATTAGATCTGCTATTTGTAAGAGTGAAGTAGAAAAAGAAAGGTGAAGCTATAAACTTCAAATGTGTAGTTAAAGAAAGCGAAAGTCTTTTATGTTTTCCCTATATGTAGAAAGCAAAATTAATAACACCTTTGGCTGTGCCAAATTGTATGGACTGGATATATGCAGTGCTTGACGCCATGGAAACAAGATGCCTGAGATCCCACCGATTTGTAACTCACCTGGAATGCTGTTACTATATACAGGGTCCGGCACAAATAATACCCCTTTTTATTACAAAATCATAAGCATGTAATTTCGTAACATAAGAATATCACACTCAAGCATAGCATATGACATTTTAGGTGAAATGTTCAAATTAAAACTATAAATTATTACACCTATATTATTACCCTACCAACTACACCCAAGCAGGCGTTACTTCTGCCAGACCCTGTATTTTTACTCCGTTGTACAAGTAGTATGTGTATTTTAAAGAACATTTGGAAAACAGAATAAATACTTTCCAAATCACTAAGAGCCACATCGTTTCTCAATTCTCTGTTAAGCAGTTTAGTCTGGTTCCTTAGGTTTCTCATATGGGGCACCTCCCCCACCTTGAATCTACAACCCAATGAGTCAGATCACATCTATCAGATCTCAAGAGGTTTTAAGGAACTGACTCACCAAATCCCAATTTGCCACTTTTCCCCTTTGGCTGAGATGGACAGGAAGAAATGGACTTGTATGGATTGGCAAGGCTGTGTGTGCACCAAGCTCCCTAAAGCTCTACACCTGAGTGACCTGGAATCTTGAACACTCCAGGCGAAAGACGTCACTGAATTCCGGCCCACAGCACACGAGGCATTTTTAAACATCATCCCCCAACCCCATGGCAGGTTTTCAACATTGCCCGACGAATTTCAAGGGAAGAATGGTGGTTCCACGGGCGCTCTGGCATAATCCAGCAGCTGGTTTCGTCAACCCTTTCTCCAAAGGAAGGAGAGCAGGTGGAAGAGGGCTTACCTGAGGGTACAGCAGCAGTGCCGAAAGGTACAGAACTAAACATGTCTGCACTCGCCGGAAGTGTCTGAGATGAAGACGGGATAAAGGCATCACCTGGAGTTGCAGGAGTCTGTCAGGCAGAGAGAGGCGGAGGGTGCATGAGGCTCCTGGGAGGCCTAGCTCAGCAATCATCAAGGATGGGAGGCAGTAGGTGCAGGAGTTGTGGGGGGGGGGGGGGGCGGGGGGTGGGGGGGGTGGGGGGGAACGCTGCAGAAGCAAGCCACAGCCCAGGCCACTTAGGCAGTGTGCAAACCATAAGTTGGTTACACAGATTATCTGTAAAACGGGCAAAATGATACCTACTTCTAGAGCTTCTGAGGATTAAATGAGATCATGCATTCAAATCACTTAGGACCATGCTGAGGCATACAGTCGGCACTCAGCAAACAAAGGCCAATATCATGATGATTTAGTTTGAGTTCCTACCTCTTAGGGGTGATTTCAGGCCTTCGAGTTTTTCCATATCTGGCTTTCCCTTTCTAGTCATGGTCAACTCAAACTGACATACACTCACCCACTCAGGACTCACTGTGTGCCCAGCTCAGGGTTTGTCACTAACAGCATAGTCAATAAACAGTTGTTGACTAAATGAACCAATAAAGCTTAGCAACTGGAACAGAGATCCTTGTATGCTGGTGCCTCCCAGAATTTTGCCTGAGTCTTCACTTGCAAGAAGAAGAAAATATTTTCAAGAAGATGATTTTAAAAAATGCCTGACATGCAAACTCTACATGGGACCAAGCTGGAATTCCAGAAAGGTAAGCTGCATGAACCGGTGGGTGAGGTGAAGGGTACTGAATTAAAAACATAACTGTGCAGTTTCTTTTTAAAGGTCCTCACCTGTTTACAGAGGCCCTTTGCCTACAGAATATGTCTTTTCGATGACATAATATTCTTATTTTTCCCCCCTTGGGATAGACTGGGGTAAGTAATTAATCCTGAAACCGTAGCAGTTAGACAAGGCCATTTTTAGACTAGCAGCCTGTGGGAAGAATGGCATTGTTCTGAGGATAATTAAATACCCATTTGGACTGCACTTGGGTTCAGGGCCAGAAACACAGCCATGAGATGCTGTATTAAGCACTTTTAAACACAATCAACGTCATTCTCTTTTCCACAATGTGACCTTGGGTGCGTCACATGCCCTCTCTGGGATTCAGTTTGCTCATCTATAAAATATAGGGAAAAGGTTGTAAGATCACTTCAGGCCTTTCAAGCTTCATAGTCCCATGGTTCTGAGATTTCCGGTGCCCAGGACACAGCTGTTCTGCCTGGAGATGGAGGAAGGAATGAGATGTGCTAGAGCTGTCCAGCTTCCCTGGAGACAGGAGCTGTTGTCTCCTCCTTCACAGCTGCTCTGGACATCAGGTGTGAGGAACAGAACAGCTGTGCCTAGATTCCCTGGCGGCAGCTGTGGGCAGCAGGGTCTCGTGCCATCTGTCTTCTGTGGTGAGGTTATAGCCTTTTCTCTGTGAGGCACATCTCGCCAATGAACCATAGCACCATCCCTGGGTTTGCACAACTGCGCAGTGCCCAGGGGAGCTGCCCCTCCCAGCAGCTTCAGCTGGTGCAGCTGTGGCTGACTGCTCTCCACCTGTCTCTGGGGAGTGGGTATGTGGGTATGGGGGCGGGGTGGAGAAAGGACCTGAAGGGGCCATCTCCACTGGCTCTGTTGTTTTCAGTGGCTATAGGGTGGCCTTTGAATGCACCCAATTCTCAAAGCACTGGGTTCCTCTTTGGTTTTGGTTTTCGTACCTATTTTTCTTCTTTTCATTTCAAATGAGGGCTTCCTGCAATCTCTGTCTCCCTTCAAGCAATGACTGAGATACACTGGCTGAACCTGGAGCTGGGAATCCAAAGCTTTGTGAGAAGCTCAGGAAAGCTAGCAGGCAGGTTGGAAGAGGGGAGGAGAGAAGAAGAGGGAGATGGGAAGGAAGGTAAGAAGGAAAGAGCAGAAAGGGGTTGGGGAGAAGATGCTTCCCTTATTGGGCAGACCACCTGGGAGTGCGGGCTCCGGGTGGGCGCTGTCAAATGCCTCATCACATTTGTTGTCCTGTTGAGTGTCTTGCCCGTAGTCCCAACTAGACCACGTGCTCCTTGCAGGCAGCGACCACCTCCCATGCATGTCCCTCTCCACTGCCCAGCGTAATAGCAAGCACCCAGGTGATCTGTAATTGCTAATGCATGATCTCATTTATTTCTCAAAACAGAAGCTTGTATCATAATTCCTTTTAAAAATTAGCCAAGGAAATTGAGATTTAGAATTACAAGTTATTTTGCCTAAGTCACACAGCTTGAAGGAGTCAGAGCTGAAATCCACTGGCAGGCCTCTTTTACCCCAAGGCCGTATTCTTGCCACTTGTGAGGCTGGAGAAGGGAAAGGAAGGGCTGCCGGGCTCGGAGGGCAGTGCATACTTACGGGGGGAGAGGTTATATCAGGAGGGGTGGACATGTCCCCAAAAAGTTCTAATTGGGTCACAGCCTGCAAAGACACAAAAGATAATGATGAAACCACAAGGAATGATGTTGATGCTGCTGGGCACTGCTTGAAAAACAGTATCCTATGAGGACAAGTATTTCTCTTTTTCAACACAGCTATATAAACAATAAGCCCAGTGGGTCATTCCTAGGCCTCATGACCCTAAAGACAGCCTCTGGGATGCGGCCCGAATCAGTTCTTGCTCCCGTGTGTCTGGCTGTTTATCTGGGCTCAGTCCAGGAGATGTGGGCTTGGCCACCTCCCATGAACACTGCTAATGCCACTTCGCACATATTTACCACCAGTGCTAGCACTGTCTCTGTTCTCCGGGAGATAAAGGCAAGTCCCATCAATGTTTTTTCTTTCCTGAGTGCATCCACACATACAAAACGCCTTTCACATGCTAAGTAGAGTAGGATGTGACTTCATGGCTACCTTCCCATAAATGCTCCCAATAATGATGACCCTGAGAGGTAGGCATCACCATCCCCATTTTTACAAATGAATAAACTGAGCCAGATAGAGGTGACCTCAAGGTCACGCAAGCTACAGCTGGAATTTTCTGCACACAGAGTATGCAGTCATGTGAAGTCCCTGAAAAAGTCTGTCTTGAGAATAAAAAATGTAGTTGGAGGAAAAGAAAACATATTTAATACCAGGAAGGGCATCAAAAACAGCCCAGCATATACACTATTAATCACTCCTAGGAACTCCATCGCGGCAGACATCATATCATCTATATTCCCCATCCATCATATGGCAGTGTCTGAGCAATGCCAGCTGTAGCTGTGGAAGAAGCACTTTAAGATATACTTAGAAATGAATCTGCATACTCTCCCAGCTTCAGAGGCTGTAGGGAGTCTATGGCCAGGATGCCAACAGCCTGACTTGAAGTATATAATCACATGCTTTGTGCAAACCTGCCCACTGAGGAAAAAATGCTCTCTTCTCCTCTTTGTATTTTGACTGATAGCTTTTTATTGGGGGAACCTAAAAACACCACTCAGTAGAAAGAACAGGGAGAGTCTGCCTGCCTACCACGCGGGACCCCTGAACTTGAATTCTGGATCTCTACAATTCACAACGAAGAAAGGAATGCTCTCTCCTGCTGACAGGTGGGTGAGCTCTGGCTGCGGGACGAGGCCCCCCCACCTGGGATCCCACTTCCAACCTCTGCCACTCCTCAGAGCTTCAGTTGCCTCACGGGGACAATGGGGGTGGTAATACCTCCTTTGCAAATTTCTTGACAATATTAATAGCAGGACTTTCTTTGAAGTTTGGCTAAGCATGGTTTAAAAGGCACAAAAGGCTCTTTTGGCTGAAAGACGCTTAGCCTGGCTAACTGACTTTCACTTATTCCCTTTAAGCTTTCAGGTTGAATATCGATGCCTGATATAAAGCAGGGTCCTATACATACTAATTTCCTTCCCAACTATGCAACGTTTTTTTCCGTATACACAGAACAAGTGCTAAGTGCTGGGGACATAATAATGAGAAATGTCAAGTTCCTGCCAGCAGGGAGCTGACAGTCTGGTGGGGACAATCCACAGATAGAGATAATTTCAATATAATGTGGCAGGAATGGCAACAGACATCTCAATGGGTGCTGTGGGAGCACCTAGAAGGGACCCAGCCAGCTTTTGGCACAGTTTAGTGAGAGTCTTCTCAAAGAAAGAGCCCTCATCTGAAACCTGAAGAAGAGGGGCATTAGCCAGGCAGCCAAAGAGAGCGGGGACAGATGGAAATACACGAGCATAAAAGATGGAGACCCAGAACTGTCTGAGCAGGTGGGTGTACAAGCAGTTTGGTGTAATCAGTGTGAGGGTGGAGAGAGGAGCAGGAGAGGAGACCAGCGACGTGGACAGAGGCCAGGTTGTAATGGGACTTGGGGCATTTCACAGTCCTTCCTGCCAGCTCTTTATTATCTTGATTCTCTCTCAGAGGGTAAGAGCCCACAGGTACGAGATAGTAATGCAATGGCCAGCACGCAGAATACTCTCCAAATCAGGTTGGACACTAAATACCTCCTTGTTTCATTACCTTGTTTCCAACATGTTATATTACTTGGTGAAACTGTGCCAATCCTTTAGACTCTCCCCCAAATTCACATAAGTAATAACTCCATTTAACTCAGACGGAGCTTCTGGGCTTCCTTGCAATTGGAACTCAATGTTTTTAAAATGGTCCACAACTACTTTCACTGGTAGGAAAATATTAAAATGAAGTTAATAATTAAGTTACACAATATATTTTTCAAATGAGTTGAACTCGTGGCATGCTTTTACTAACATCATAAATATAACTTACTGGCTATTTTTCTCCTTAAAGACAACTTTTAAAATGACCTTCGTTCTTGAAATACAGACTTCCCTCCTGCCTGATAACTTTCACTCAAGGATTAAACGAGAAAAACATGCAGAGACATAAAACATGGATTGCTATTTCATTCCATTGGACTTGCTATTTAAATAGAATCTTGAGTTAAATTAAATTTCATAGAAAAAATGGATTCTTAGGCCATATACTTAAAAATAATTCAAATAACCATATGTGATTCAGAATCTGGAATAATGTCAATTTTAATTGAATAGCAGCTTCCCTACCCATGTTAACCTTAGGCCTTTTATTTGTGACCTAATAAGCCATGTTTCATTGAATAAGACTGTCATAATTAATCATTTAAGGGACTGATGAGAATAAAACTAACCATCCATATTTGTACAACACTTTACAGTTTACAATACACTTTGCAATACATTATCATCACGTTTGACACTTGCTGAGCCCCATGACATTGGCAGCACTGGTGTCTTGCGACTTATATTTTGCAGCTGAACTAAGACCAAGAGGTTAAGTGATTTGCTTCTGACCAGTGACCTAAAAGAAGCTGGATTTGACCTACAGACCAAGCAGCATCTATTCCGTCTATCACTTTACGAAGCCTTGGTTAGCCTTCTTACACGGTGGAAGTCCAGCTTCACCCTATTCTCTAGCCAGAAGTTGAGTTCCTGGAAGGCCTGCCATGATTCACATTTACCCAAAGAATTCATCTGGAAGGCTGGCTCCAGATGCTTACTTGCCTTTCCATTACAAGCACTTCCGATGCCTTCAGGGAAAGAGAGATGTGGCTGTTGATGGCAAATACTCCCCTTTCTTTAGGCCAGGGCATTTTCCAGGGTCAGCAGAAGCTGCCAAGGCCAATGAGGGGGATGAGGGATAGCTTGGCTGTTCATGGGGGTGGGGGAGCTTAATCTCTCCATCAGGTCAGTCCCTCCCCAGCCATTTTTGAATATGAATGAGTGACATTTTCACAAGAATACCTGAATGTCATATTGTACAACTGCTGTTTCAGGGTTAGTCTCTAGGCCTCTGTTCAACTAGACTCCTCGGCCCCTCCTAGAGAGAAATTCTGAAGGCACTGCTGATGAAGGCTGAGGTCCTTGGCTGATGCCCAAATCACCTTCTCACAGACCCACTGCCTATGCTTTGGCATCAGGAGCTCCTTCATTTAGGAAAAGCAAGGAGCCTTACTGTATATCAGCTGCTGTGCCGAGAGCAGGGGGTACAGGGAAGAATAAGACACATCCCTGTTCCTACTCCGTGAGCTGGCTATTTGATGGAAAGACAAGCCTATGGGCATAATCAGGGCAGTGTCATGGAGCAGAGAAGCACAAGGGTTATAAAAGAAAGGGCCGCCTCAGGGCCTTTGCACGTGCTTTTCCTCCTTCCTAGAACACTCATTCCTCCCCTCATTGCCTTCCCACCTATCCATCAGGACACAAATTAGAGGACTGCCTTCACCCACCCCAGGAAATGTCTCCTAACTTAGTTTGTGTCCCATTGCACTACTCGAAACAGCTTATGTGATACTTTTATTTCAGTGGTTCTCAACCTTGGATGCAAACTGAAATCATCATGAGGAAAATATTGATGCCTGGTTTGAAGTACAGCCTAGTACCTCCAACTTTAAAAGATCTCCTGGTGATTCTAATTTGCAGCCAAAGTTAAACCCCCCCCCCCAAAATACACTCTGATCAGGGGTGCTTATATTCATCGGTCTATGTATCAGCTAATCTGTACAAATATTGGTTGTAAACTGGTACGTCTATTCCAGAGTATGTGGACTGAATAGCAGTCCTGCCTGTCTTTTATTCCCGATGGCCCACTTAGCACAGTCTGTTTCTGTGTCTGAATCCCCACTATGCTGTTCTACAGTGCACCTCACTAGGCTACCTTACCCTACCCTACCCTACTTTAGCCCATCGTATTCTATGCAGTGTTGCACTACGTTATACTATGAGCTTCCTCCTGTCTTCTACATCTCCAGCCACGTATCAGAATGCCTGGGACACGTTAGGAGTTCAAAAAATATTTCTTGAATGAAGTGAAGGAGTGTCCCTTCCTTTCCAACACACCCTCTTTCACACACACACACACACACACACACACACACACTTCCTATGTGACCCTGTTGCAGGGCCCCCTGGAGTCTTCCTGTGAACCTCAGAAGAGAGCAGAGTATGCAGGCGAATGACCAGAACAACCCTCACTTAACAACAACCTGGAGGCCTTACCTTTGTAGCCTCCAAAATCTCATCAAAGTCCATTGGCAGGTTTCTGTTCTGTAACCACAAGGCAAAACTTATGAGCGCGAAATGAATGAGGGGCCAATGACATGAACCAGTTCACCAGACAGGGCCCGCTCCTTCTTACCGGGGTGGCCGCGGCAAACCGTTCTTCAAAATCGTCAATTGGCTGGCCATTCTGAAAGTGGAAGGGGTGATGAATGAGGATGAAGTGAATGACACACAAATGACATGGATTAATGAGCTTTATGAGGATGGTATCTAGGGGTTATGCTCCCATGGTCTCAGCGGGTGGGAGCTGTTGCCGGGTACTGTGAAAACCCTGGGATAGGGTCCCAATATAGCAGGTGATCAAATATGGGCCTGATTAGGAAATAAAGCAGTGTTAAGTTTCTAGGTTTAAAGTTCATCCTCCTG